AAGTCTGACATCCACATCATAAGAGCTGATGAGTTCTCCTGAACTCATCAATTCAAAAGTTCGGTGAGTTCTCCTGAATTCAACTTTGTAAGTAACCATTTTGTAGGGGATATACCAAGTTTGCATGCTCTTTAGAGATTTAGCATGCAATTGTGCACCGTTTGGTTAAATGACACAGCTCTAATGGTGGCTGTAGAAGTGATGGGCAGAAGGTAGGAGATGCTGTGCAAGAGCTTGTTGCAGAAGTAGGCCTTGGGCCGGGAGCGGTGGCTCACTGCAAGTGAATAGATGATTAATATCAAAACTGCCTGTCATCCCAGCAGTTTGGGAGGTCACAGTGGGAGGATTGCTTGAGCCCAGGAATTGGAGACCAGCCTGGGCAACATAGTGAGACCCTGTCTCTACCAGAAAAAAAAAAAAAAAAAGCTGGGCATGGTGGCATGAGCCTGTATTCACAGTTACTTAGGAGGCTGAAGTGGGAGGATAGCTTGAGCCAGGGAGGTTGAGTCTGCAGTGAGCTATGATCATGCCACTGTGCTGTGCTCCAGCCTGGGCAACAGAATGAGACCTTGCCAAGAAAAGCAAGCAAGCAAGTGGAGGGGAAGGGAAGGGAAGGAGAGGGGAGGGGAGGGGAGGGAAAAGGAAGGGGAGGAAAGGGGAGGGGAGGGGAGGGAAAAGGAAGGGGAGGAAAGGGGAGGGGAGGGAAAAGGAAGGGGAGGAGAGGGGAGGGGAGGGAAAAGGAAGGGGAGGAGAGGGGAGAGGAAGGAAAAGGAAGGGGAGGAGAGGGGAGGGGTGGGGAGGGAAAGGAAGGGGAAGAGAGGGGAGGGGAGGGAAGGGAAAAGGAAAGGGAGGGGAGGAGAGGGGAGGGAGGGGAGGGAAGGGAAGAAAGAAGGCAAGGGAAGGGAAGAAGGGAAGGGAAGGGAAATAAAGGGAAGGGAAGAAAGAAGGGAAGGGAAGGAAAGAAGGAAGGGAAGGGAAGAAAGAAGGAAGGGAAGGGAAGAAATAAGCCTTGCTCAAGTTCTGAGAGCAACCTTCTTATTGGCAAAGTGGATGTATCACTGACATTTATGAAAATTCCCACAGTCACTGTGTACAGAGAAGCAATCAGTCAACTTATCAATGGGTTGTAATAAAAAAAAAACAAACAAACCCTTAAAGAAACAGAAATCTATGTGATAGGAGGGAATAGGAAGGAAGAAAATCCTGAGGGGAGAGGAGTAAAGAGGAAAAAGGCAATAAAAGCAGGAATGAACAGACAAAGTGTGCCCCTAGCAGAGGGCGTTAGCAAAATATGTCACGGATATAACATTACATGTGAAATACCTTTGAAGCAGCTAATTGAAGCTTTTTCTTCCCCATTGCCAGCTTGTGGATCTTGAGAGAAAATTTCAAGGCTTGCAGCAGGTAGGTCTCATTCTGCTAGATACCTAACATCTTTCACAGAAAACATTCTAGAATCACTAATAGAGCCACTATTAGCATTTTGAGGGTGAATGGATGATTAATATCAAAAACTTGCTTTTTCCCATAATTTAATTCTTATCCCAGCATGTGTTTCCCGGGATGCAGATGCAGAGCTGAGCCTAAGACATGAAATGCTGAGGCTGAGGTTGCTGAGCCTGTTGGGTCTCCTGACCCTGAGTTCGCAGCCCACAGCCCACATGCTTGTCCCTTTACCACTACCCTGTGTGTACTGTGCTTGCTCAGCTAGTGACTCCCAACTTGCTGCTTCTCCCATCAGGGACTGGCGCTTGGAAAGCCAAGCATCCTCTCTGACCCTTAGCTCAGAAGTCTAGGTGTATCACAAGATATTCCAAATTTTCTTAAAACTACATTTGCTGGCAATCAAACTTGAACAGCTTCTTAGTGAAAACATTCTACAACTGTATTACATGCTTGTAGATTGATCTATGTAAACTTAGGTTTTTTACCCTTTTGTAGGTAACTGGCCTTTTAAAGACTTTCATGGATGCCATAGGTTTCTATGCAGAGAAATACACAGAATCTCCTCATATTTCAAATTTTGCATAAAAGTGTGAGGATTCCAATGTAAGAATTTCTGCACAAATCTTCTTCATCTGTTTTGCTTATGCTTCAAACATTTTCCTCTGCTTTTAAGTTTGATCTGTCCCACAGTAAGGGACAGATACAGAAAAGGGAATCATGCAGATTGAGGCAGGCCTCACCATTCTGGCAAGGATTGCTGCTGCAAACCTTTTTTGTCATTCGATGAACAAGTTCACGTATTTTTTTTCTCCACTTAGATAATGCATTGACCCCTCTGCTGTCATTTTTTAGAGAGTAGCTGAGCGAATGATAATGAGTAAAGAACAATGCTGTGGGCTGTGACACTGCACTCAAGTTTTGTCTCCTGTGGGGCTTCATTATTTTCACCAAAGGTCAAAGGCTGGAGGCCACATTCAGGCAGTCCTCCTATCTGCCTCCCTCAGGAGGAACACTGAATGATTTTCAAATGTGAATGCCTTTGTGCCTTCGGAGAGGGCGAGTGCTCTGTGGCCACCACAGTCCCTGCCACTCCCTATTCCTCTTCCTCCTGACTGTAGATTTCATTTTCTGCTGGGCCCCTGGAGGCTTTTAAGTTTTTAGTCCCCAGACAGTGTTGCTTTTGTCCGATAGAAAACCTTTGAATGAGTTTGTGGTTAATGTTCTCGAGAGCGTTCTTTGATGGACAGAGCCAATTGTGGTGCTAGCACAAAGATAAACAAGTAGAATAATGGAATTTAACAAGGTTCATAAAGACACCCCTAGATGTACTGTCACCTAATTTACGGCCAAAGTGGAGAAGGAATGGGCTTTGCAGAAAATGGTGTTAAGTCAGTTGGCTTTCCTCTGGCTTTCCACTTCATCTGTTCAATGAATGAAACAGAATTAATTTTCTTTGTGAGTCACTAGATATAGAGTATGTTGTGTTTGTATGTGTGTATGTGTATATATGTACATATATATATATATATATATATATGAAATGTAATAAACAGTTTGCCCCTATTTTAACCTTTTAAAAACAGATAATTAGGTTGGGTATGGTGGCTCATGCCTGTAATCCCAGCACTTTAGGAGGCTGAGGTGAGTGGATCATGTGAGGTCAGGAGTTCGAGACCAGCCTGGCCAATATGGTGAAACCCTGTCTCTACTAAAAATAAAAAAAATTAGCCAGGTGTGGTGGTGCACACCTGTAATCCCACTACTCAGGAGGCTGAGGCACAAGAATAGCTTGAGCCCAGGAGGTGGAGGTTGCGGTGAGCCAAGGTCACACCACTGCACTTCAGCCTGGGCGACAGAGTGAGGCTCCATCTCAAAAAGTTTTCTCTGCACCCAAAGGCAATAAAAATCTTACAAGATTGAAACTGGTAGCTGACATAAGGTCAGGTTCCCCAGGTTATGTAGATGGAGTTGTAGACAAAGGTAGGTCTGTTTGTGATCTGGGCTGAAAGCAGTCAGGTGAGCAACAGGGTGAAGAGTATGTCTTAGGTGGCCACATTTCAAACAAAGGGACTTGGAGCAGAAGGAGTTCAGTGACCTTAACCCATGGAGGAGGGGCAGGGGGCAGATGATCATATTTCAAAGGCTCACCTGGAAGGACCAAAGATAAGAATCACAGGTAAAAAAACCGACTGGAATCTCCATTTTTATTTTCTCTGTGCAATAGGAATATCCATTATTATTTCCACACTGGAAACCTTTACTCTTGTCCACTGAGGTCTCTCTCTCAGGTGAATCATACTTTTCCAAAACAAAGTGAGAATCTTCTCCCCCCATACCTCATCCCAACCATGGTCAAAAGCATGTTGAGAGTTAAGGAGTAGAAAGAAGACTGATAATAGGAAACACCTTTTGTTTTTTCACAGGAGAGGTGATTTGAAGAAGAACGTAAGTAATAGCTTTGCAGTCTGGAGGGAGACCCCCTTCGACTACGATTTAAATGTAATCCCACACACACACCGGAATGGTAACGTGTCTTTTGTTGCTGCCGACTGCAGGTCATCTCATTGACTGTCCTGTCTTTGTTTCAGACTGTTGACAAAAAGGTTTGTAGCAGCAATCCTTGCCAGAACGGTGGAACCTGCCTCAACCTGCATGATTCCTTTTTTTGTATCTGTCCCCCACAGTGGAAGGTGAGTCACTTGCTCTTTGGTTAAGAATGATGGTTGGTCAGCATCTGTGGTTTCCTTGGAATCATTCAGGCATATTTAATTCTCCATCCAAAGTTTCTAGGATTCTGTGGCCTCCTGAATCAAAATGAAGTATGCCATGTATGCTAAAATCCAAACAGTGGTGAGTTTGATTACAGAACCCACTGAACACTAAAGCCATTGAAAGGAGAGGTTCACTTGATTGGATAACTACTTGGAAAAGCACAGTATTTCTGTTAGAATTTATTTAAATTGTTCAGCATTAGAAAGTACCAAACAAATCTTGGCATGCCTAGATAAATTTTCTTTTTCTTTTTTTTTTTTCTGATAATGGTGAAACTTTCCCAGCATGCACATTAAACAAAATGTTAAGTAAGTATTTCCAGACATAGTACCATTGTGAACTGAGGATTCTATAACGTTTAGATAAGGATTCTCCTCCTGTGACTGCTGTGATCTTATGAAGAGCTCTTTGGTTCTATTAGGGGAAATCTGAGTTCTAAAGGAAGAATAGCTAGGGGTTAATATTAGTATTATTGTATTTGGCTTTACTGAGGACTTATTTACTGTCCACATATAAATCCTTAAACATATCGTGTGAATGTTGGCCTCAGATACCTCTGTGACCTGTGGCACCTGACTTTGTTCTTTATGTGACCACAGGGTCCTCTCTGCTCAGCTGATGTTAATGAATGTGAGATTTACTCAGGAACACCCTTGAGCTGCCAGAATGGAGGCACGTGTATAAATACAATGGGAAGTTACAGGTAACTTTTTTTTTTTTTTGTAAATATCAGTTATATTTTTGAAGGCCTAAAACATTGCATAGTTAAGAGCATCCTAAACTATCTATCTATATTCCAGCAAAAGTTAGTACTCCATGAAGAAGTATTTAGCTCTTACTTAATGTCTATATAGCTGTTTTCACTTAAGTGAAGAAAAGCTCCTGAGTCCTCTGTTCTCACCCTGTGAAGAAATCCTTGCTCTGGAAGGATGCTCTTGTGGTTGGCACAGAGAGTAAGCATGGCCTGGTGCAAGAGTAGCTGAAGCCTTAGGAAGAGCCAGAGCATTGAAGGGGAGCACTGAATGGCCTTAAGTAGAAAAGGGGACACCCTACCACACCAGTGCTCCCCGGCTGTACTTGTTCCATATATTAGTAAGCTCATAGTTTTGAGTGAGGAGAGCTTTATTCAATGCTGTGTCAAAATCTGACCACAACAAGGTCAAAGGTTAAACTGAGGTTCAATGAATGAAGTAACTCTCACTGCATTTCTTCAGTTAGCCACAGGTTCCTGACCACAGTAATCATACAGCTGTATCTTCTCTTCTGATTTATTCTGTCAAGTGACCTGTCCATAGCATTCTCCCACTCAGCGCAGGTGTCACTTCCTGCAGGAAACCTCCCCTTTCCTTATTGAGCAGAGTGAGGCATCTCAGGTCCTCTGTGTTCCCACCGTGCTCTGGGATACCCATCATCAAAGCTTTACTGACACACACATTGTCTTTCTAATAACGAAGTCCAAAACTTTAGGGAAGAGCAATGGCAAACTTACTTTTGTACAGTTCTTTAAAGTTGCCTTTTAAACTAGGCATTGTCTTTCCTGATAGTTTGGCTGGTCTCTTTTATTGTGTGATTTTTCAAAGATTAAGAAATAAATTCTGTTATAGCATGAACAAATGCTTTCAATACTCTGGAGTAGAATCTCATTGGATTACAGAGCAATTATTTGATCTCTTACTGGAGTCTCTGCTGTCTTGTTCTTCAGTCTCCTCATAACAATATCCATTCTAGTCTTTCCAGCAAAAATGAGTGCAGTAATTTTGTTTTTAACCCATCACTGTTAATGCACACTCCTAAAAAAGCAGTCCCAAGCCTTCTCTTTTTATTTGATACTTTCGTTTTTTGGATCTTTAAAACTTTTGCTCATTCCAGGCTATAAACTCAAATCATTCCAACTTACTGCTAGATATGTCTATGAGTTCAGTCATTATGCAAAACTAAAATTAACCGCTTCTGATTTAAATTTAGTATTATGTTATTAAAGAGCTTTCTGCTTCCAGGACCCTGTTTCTTATTTAAATGAAGCCTCTTCTCCCTGCTTATTTATATTAGGCTTGGGCTAGAAGCAAAATGCAGTCTAACCTCGCTTTTCCTTGAACCCCTTATCTCCTAATTTCTGTTGATGGACATTTATGGAGGAGAATTCCTCCTTAGAGTTACCAGTGGCAAATGTCTGGACTCCTAGCACTTCTGCTTTCTGACCTTCCTGATATCTAGGAATGTTGTAGAGATTAGATTTCACTCCTGCCCTTTGTTTCTCATCACCGTCTGTTGGGGTCTTGTGGGCCAGTAGAGCGACAAGTATGGGCACGTGGGGATGAGATCCACAGACCAAGCTAAAGTTGTTGCTATTGCTGTTTTCAGCACATTATCTTTTTCCTCTCTGCAAAATGGAAAACATAACAAAACAAAAATCCCTTTAATAGTCACCACTGTTTGCAGCATGTCAGAGGTTAGAGTTCTTTATCCAGACACACACATATGATGGAATGAGACCTGGGAGGCAGGGAACCATGTATTTGTCAAAAGCTGCATTTCTAAGTGACAGATTCAACTTTGTAAGAGCAGTACCAAATTCTCTCTTGCACTCTTTTGTAAAGGAGAGCAAGAATGCAGAAGAACGGATGGTGTGTGGTTGACTTTAGAAATGATCTTAATTCCTAGTCTCTGTCCTTCATAGATTTGCTGGAGGACATTAGAGAACAGAGCATCTAAGTCAGGTTTCTTTCTCTTGAGGTGGGAATAGTTTCTGAAACCTCATAAATCCCATTTTATTATCTACACTTTAAGTACCCTAATTCAGGCATATGTTGGACACTTTTTGAAGGAATAAAAGAAAATGAAAGAAGGTGCATGAGCGTAAGATTAAATTATTGCTTTGTGGAGTCTACGTGTAATGAAACAAGTGAACATTTGGGTACTTTCTTGAGTTCGATTAATTGTGCGAGGTTAAATCCTTGTTAATCAGCAGGCTAGAAAACCCTTTAGCTGAAAGAAAACTTGAGCCACAGAATCATCTGGACCTGCAGAAATGTAGTCATGGCATCAAAGTTCACTTTGGAGTTTGGACCTCCTTCAGTTTCTTTTACTCTTTGAACTCTTTTACTTGGACAGAAAAGGGAGTCTTTAACTGGATTAATAATTTGTCATTGTAACGACCTCTGAAAAAGTACAAATACTCATTACTGGGAAGTCCTGTTTCATAGGTAAGCTTTTGATAGAAATTCTTTTTTAGAACAATGATTATAGCACAAGAAACATCATTTTCTGTTTCCACGGATTCTTTTGGCTTGGGGTCTAGACACCAAGAGCTTCAGACAGCTAACAAAATGATATTTCGTCATTTCTCCATGCTGTTATTGCCTCTTGCTTCTAAAGACTTGATTCTTATTGTTCCCCAGCTTACTTTGTGTTTTGTTTGTTTTGTTTTGTTTGTTTTTGAAATGGAGTCTCACTCTTGTTGGGGCTGGAATGCAGTGGCTGCGACCTCTGTCTCCTGGGTTCAAGTGATTCTCTTGCCTCAGTCTCGTGAGTAGCCAGAATTACAGGCACCTTTCACCACACCTGACTAATTTTCGTATTTTTAGTAGAGATGGGGTTTCGCCATGTGGCCAGGCTGGTCTCGAACTCCTGGCCTCAGGTTATCTGCCTGTCTCCACCTCCCAAAGTGCTGGGATTACAGATGTGAGTCGTCATGCCTGGCAGCCTCCCCTGCTTACTTTGGATTTGAGACAGCCCTTGGGATCTGAACTCGCCATACATGGATGCTGTGTGTTATACACTTAGGGCTCAGATCTAGAAGGCTTTACAGAAAAACAAAAAGTTGAGTTTGTCTAATTTTCCAGAAGCATGATGATTAGTAAATTTTCTTTCATTTATTTCCATTCATATCACTGTTAGATTTTTACATCGTACAGAGCTTAAAAAATGAGGATAATCTGGTTTTAGCTCAGGTGGTAGTTAGGTTTTAAACTTATTACCTCTTTCAGTCAGTCAGTAAAATTAGTATTGAACCATGAACTCTAACACAAGTTAAACTATGACTATCAAAGTGTATTAAACCTCTTCTCAATTGCCAAAATGCACTTGCAGCATTTTCCAAGAAAAGGCTAGCTTCGCTCTTCTGGAACCAAATTGGCAATAAAAGGTCATTAGAAAAGAGACTTCTGCTAAATCAGTAACTAATGACGAAAGCAGGGATAGTAGTAAGTTAGTTTTAAAAATACAATATATGGCTTTTATTTTCATTTAGAGAGGTATATAAGTAATTGTTCCTTTTTTAAAGGCCATTCTCAAGACACCCTGAGAGTATATTTTGCCTGTAAACCCCGTTATGTTAAAAAAGCACATAAGGCTGGACACAGTGGCTCATACCTGTAATCCCAGCACTTTGCGAGGCCAAGGTGGGTAGAACACCTGATGTCAGGAGTTTGAGAGCAGCCTGGCCAACATGGTAAAACCCTGTATCTACCAAAAAAATACAAAACTTAGCTGACATGCTGGCACGCATCTGTAGTTCCAGCTACTTAAGAGGGAGAGGTGGGAAGATGGCTTGAACCCTGGAAGCAGATGTCGCAGTGAGCCAAGACCATGCCACTGCACTCCAGCCTGGGTGTAAGACCCTGTCACAAAACAAAACAAAACAGGTGCATAAAAATGCAGCTCGTTCATATAGCTCTACTTTTCAGAATATAAGAATGTAACATGCAAAAGCAATGATGCAGGAGTCAAATAGACCTAAGTGTCTATTTATCTTCTGCCACTTACTCATTTTGTGGTTTTGGAAAATATGAGTCTGTAAAATGGGATTAATAATACTTGTCTCTGAGGATCATAGCAAGGAATCCTATGGTTTACTTGACTTTTTTCCTCCCTTTATCTTCTCACATCATCTAAACTTAAATGAAAGAAGTGTACTTTGTAGCTATTCAGAAAACAGAATAAGTTTAATGCCTATTCATCTCCCAGTGATAATAGCAAGGATGGAGGAAGAGAGAGATAAAGAGAAAGGATTTAACTGCAGGTCCATGAACCGGGATCTCCTCTCAAATCTTACGTCATTTTGCAATCGTTAAGCACTTAGTAATAAAATAAAGACAATCTTCTGAGCACTTCCTGTAGGGGAATGCCTTTGGACTGCAATATGACCATAGTTCTCAGAGATTACCTCTGTTATTTTATAAGAAACTGAGGCAGAGGAGTTAGTATATTGTCTGGGTGAACACTTAACAGGAAGAACCAAAATTTAAACCTAGGCGGTCTTATCCCAGGGGTTCCAAAACACTCAGATCTCCCAGATAAAGAAAATAGAAAGCTAGGGCCAAGCGCAGTGGCTCATGCCTGTAATCCCAGCACTCAGGGAGGCCAAGATGGGCGGATAATGAGGTGAGGAGTTTGAAACCAGCCTGGCCAACATGGCAAAACCCCATCTCTACAAAAATACGAAAATAGCCCGGTGTGGTGGCGGGTGCCTGTAATCCTAGCTACTTGGGAGGCTGAGGCAGGAGAATCGCTTGAACCTGGGAGGTAGAGGTTGCAGTGAGCTGAGATCACGCCATTGCACTCCAGCCTGGGCAACAAGAGCAATACTTCATCTGAAAAAGAAAAAAAGAAAAAGAAAAGAAGAAGCTAGTAACAGTTGGTTTAAAGATTCTTCAGCCAGCCACGGTGGCTCACACCTGTAATCCCAGCACTTTGGGAGGCCATGGCAGGCAGATCACCTGAGGTCAGGAGTTCAAGACCAGCCTGGCCAACATGGTGAAACCCCGTCTGTACTAAAAAAAATAAAAAGTTAACTGATGTGGCAGCACTATGCCTGTAGTCCCTGCTACTCAGGAGGCTGAGGCAGGAGAATTGCTTGAACCCAGGAGGCAGAGGTTGCGGTGAGCCAAGATCGTGCCACTGCATTTCAGCCTGGGTGAGAGGGTGAGACTCTGTCTCAAAAAAAAAAAAAAAATTCTTAAACATTTTTGGCAGGTGTTGGGACTGGTGGTGAAATAAACTTTTAGTAAGGAAGCCTCCTGGATCATATGCTCAAGTATGTGTATAAACCGTTTTAAAGTTCTATAATCCTTAAGAGTCAAAATTCTCTATACAAATATTTTATGTAAAGATGGGAGGACAAAGAGGAAAGAAAACAATATGAGAAGGAAAGCAGAGAGATGTAGGGAAATAAATAGCTGTGGGTGGGAACGCATGATTTAATTTCTCTGTAAGTTTAATTATTTGTAATTATTTTCCTATGACTTTATCTTAAAGAGAAAGGCAACTTTGGGATGCTCAGAAATGTCATGTGTTAATGAATCCGCTTTTATGTAAATATATACTGATGTTGTCAATTGCATTGAGCATATTTATACGAAGAAATATTTATCTACCTGAAACTCGCATTTAATTGGGCATGCTGTATTTTGATTTGCTAAGTCTGGGCTCCCAACACGAGTGTATGGACGGTGTTCCCTGCATTCTTACTCTCCATCTCTGGCCACAGTCATTGCTCTCCTCTTCCTTAGAAGCTACCAAAACACTGCCACCCCAGCAATTGCTTCAGGGACCCACCATGGGCAAGCTGAATCCTGTGCCTGGAGTTTGGTTCTTGATGCCGTTCAAGCAGTCAAATGCTAATTTCCCACACTGTCATTCATACATGGTCATCCGTGGAGATTACTAAGCTCCTGTACCTCACTATGTCTTGTGAAAGAGCTGTTTTACTTTGTAGGATGGCATGGGAGGGAGGCTGGCCACGCAGGTGCTCCCTGTTCCTTGTCTCTGACCCCTGGCACCTACAGTCATTTCCTCCATGACAGCTTTTCTTGCCAATTCTGCTCAAGTCTAGCAATCGGCAACCTCTGGGCCTGGCCCTCCCTCCCCATCAGATGTGCACAGGCGTGTGGAGATAGGCTCAGCCGTCTGGGATTCCTCTACCCTTCCTCCTCCCCCAGCTCCCAGTCTCAGACCAGATAAGTTCCCATTACGCTGCAGAGATAAGGCTAAAGCAGCTTTAACAGTCACATGTTTAAAACAATATTGATTATTATTGGACTAAAATCTTCTAGTAACAAAGCACCCACTGCTAGCTTAGGCATAATGTAATACTCACCACATTTTGTTGGAAATTCAAATGTGCCTGTGAAAAAATGTCATGATATTATATTATATAACTATACCTTTTATGGCTAGAAGACATATTGCCCTTTGTAATATAATAATAACAATAATAGACTGTGAGGTGTGGATACTGGATTGCATGTGGGGTTATATAATCCTAGAGAGCATTTGGGAGTTATCAGTGTAGCCCATGTTGCCTGTGCTTCTTGGCAGATCCGATTGGACAGATGATGAATGGATTTGCTGATCTCTCCCTTTACCTTCCTGAACTAACTCTATTACCTTTGGCTTATACACATCTGACCTTTGAAAATGCTGTTTGATGACCTGATAACACAAGAATTTATAGTGCGAGGCTTACCAGATAATAAGTTGTGATTCTCTAATACCGTATTTACTCAATCCATCACTTGGAGCAGAGCAAAGTGATTTTCTCCCAAGAGTCCAGTCAGTAAATTTGCAATGGTGGCTTATGATTCCACGTTAACATCGTGGATTTGCAATTTGAATTGTTTTTCTCATTAAGAGACAAGAACTGGCCCCAAAACACAAGCCCTGACATTGTGTTCTTGTGTAACCAACAGTTGTCACTGCTCACCTGAGACATACGGACCCCAGTGTGCATCTAAATATGATGACTGTGAAGGGGGCTCTGTGGCACGCTGTGACCATGGCATCTGTGAGGATTTAGTCCGAGATCAAGCTGAAGAGGTGGGTTCCTTCCTCAAATTTGCCACCTTGCAGACAGCGATGGTTAGTAGCTTCTCCTCCTCCTATACAAGCACTGCCTAGAGCTTGCAGAGGTGAAGTCACTTCCTGCCTGTAAGTGGGGCGTAGGCGAGGAGGGGAGATGAGATATGCAGGAAGAGGACCCAGAGATTAAGATGTCATTATGTAAAATAGGACCTGTTTTTTTTTTTTTTTTTTTTTTTTTTTGAGACGGAGGCGCGGTCTGTCACCCAGGCTGAAGTGCAGTGACACGATCTCAGCTCACTGCCACCTTCAACTCTGGGGTTCAGGCAATTCTCGTGCCTCAGCCTTCTGAGTAGCTGGGACTACAGGAGCATGCCAACATGCCTGGCAAATTTTTGTATTCTTAGTAGAGATGGGGTTTCACCATGTTAGCCAGGCTGGTCTTGAACTCCTGGCCTCAAGTGATCCACCCACCTCAGCCCCACAAAGTGCTGGGATTACAGGCATGAGCCACCCTGCCCAGCTGAAATAGGACCATTTTTGTTATCCCATCATGACTCTCTCTGAGATAACACCTTCTCTTGTTCTTTTAAGTGTTATTTTTATCAGTGACAAGACACAGGAATATAAAAGGACCAGTCTTGTTGGCAACATGTGGTTTCCAGGAGTCTGATTTTTCTGTCCTGAGTCTCTGGAACTGCTGCAGACTCTAAGAGCCCACTCCTCAGACAGAATGCCCCTCCATGCCCTGGGTCCTGATGACTTTGACTCCTGACCCTCAAGGTTGTCCAGTCATGGCTGGCTCGGCTCTTCATGAGAGCTTCAATTCTTTATTTTTAGTTCTATTTTTTTCAACCCATGTGATGGAAAATAGTTCCCATCCAATGATGGGGATGGAAGGGCTGAGGAGGTGGGTAGGAGGAGGAACTTTCCAAACAAAAACAAACAGAATTGATTTTCCAAGGTCTGTGCCTACGTGGGTGTTTTTCCCTCTAAAAACACAGCAGGCTGAGTTGATTGACTTTAATTATATTGACTTACAGTTCTTGATTGTTGTTACTTTTTCCCTGGCATCTTGGGGAGAAATTATAGGTTGCTTTTACTCTGAAATAAAGACGTTTCCCTTTTTGCATGATCTGGTGTAAATGCTTAATCATATGGGAAGGAAAAGAGAAGTCACTGGATTGGCCTTATGGAAATGAACGTTAGAGGATAAACAGTTTGGGGCTTGATGAAATGTTTAAAGGCTTTTCTTGATGATTTTCATGATTGTCTTTATTCATGCTGTTGTCATCCTGCCAGCCCAAGTACAGCTGCATCTGTGATGCTGGGTGGATGTCTCCTCCGAACAGCCCTGCCTGCACGCTGGACAGAGACGAGTGCAGCTTCCAGCCCGGGCCTTGCTCCGCGCTTGTGCAGTGTTTCAACACTCTAGGCTCTTTTTATTGTGGGGCCTGTCCAACAGGTACATTCCCAGGGCCTTGTGCCTGGCTCTGCATGCCAGGTTGGCGAGGTGCCAGACCCAATTTTCTTTCAATCCTGATGAGTAGGAAGACCATTCCCAGGAGGTGTTCAAATCCATTTTCATGTCCCAGTTCACTAACTTCTACTCAAGACTATCTCACTGCTATCCCAATTCCACTACAAAAAGGGGAGGCTTGTCCAAAACTGTGCTAGAGTCAGACTTTGCGACAACGTTAGCCGTAGAATTTATAAGTTAGACATTGCACTGCAGTGACCATCAACTGACTAGATGTGAGATCAAAAGAGATACTCTAGTCCCACCTTTCAGACTAACCAGATGTTTGTACACATGGGGAAATCATTTGACCTCTTTGCATCTCCCAACAGTCCAGCAGCTCTTGTCTGGGTGTGTCATTAGAGTAACTTGTGGTCTTGATGTAAATAGAGATATCCAGCTCCATCACAGCCCCACAGTGACTGCATCTCCAGGGACACCATATGTTGAGTCGCAGAAAACATGGGCTCCATGGTCAAAGACTGCCTGGGTTTGAATCAGAGGGCATCTCTTGCTTTATGAGATAATCATCTTTCATTCCACATATATTATTTTGTGGGATGCCTACTATGAGCAAAGCACTGTGCTGGGTGCACCAGTAGGCGATTAGCGAGACCTCAGGGAGTTTACAAGGTTAATCTGCACTCTTAGGAATGGGGCACAAAGGTGATGTAATAGTAGTAGCTGTTTGCTGTTGTTGCTGTTGTTGTTTTGAGACAGAGTGTCTTTCTGTCATTCAGGCTGGAGTACAGTGGCACAATCTCAGCTCACTGTAACCTCCACCTCCTGGATTCAAGCGATTCTCCTGCCTTAGCCTCCAAAGTAGCTGGGATTACAAGGGCAGGCCACCACTCCTGGCTAATTTTTGTATTTTTTGTAAAGATAGGGTTTGCCATGTTGGCCAGGCTGGTCTTAGACTCCTGGCCTCAAGTGATCTGCCCCCCTTGGCTTCCAAAAGTATGAGCTACCACGCCTAGCCTGGTTTTTATTTTTTAATAAAGTGTTATTAAGGCACTGTATAAGCAATTTTTAATTCTTTTAAGTACAATAAAACCAAGACATGGTAAGAATAAATATTACTCACATTTTAAAATATGTGAACTTGAGGCTTAAAGAGGTTGAATAACACCCAAGGTCACATAGCTTTACAGATAGCCAGGATTCAAACCCAAGCTGCTTCTCGCCAAGAAAGCCCACACACCTAATGCTCTGTGTCGTCATTTTTGGTTTAGTGGTTTTCTGCGTGTAAATATTTAGATCTTGTAAAACTGGAAAGAAATGGAAAAAACCTATAAAGACTCTTTACTTCTTAGTTCTCAGGGGCAAGCACAATTTGCAAGCAGTCACATTTTGAAGGTAATTTATCATGGACAATCTTTAAAAACTATAAATCAGAAAATAAATTATTTAGAGGATTGGCAATGTGTTTTTACATTCTTTTTATTGTTACAGAGGATAAAGAGAAACAATTTTTTTTGTTTTCTTGTTTATCACCCGATTTTTCCTGAAATATATACAGGTAGTAGTTATATTTTATAAGCAGCAAAGCAATATATGCTGCTTATAAAATATCACTACAAAAATTTGGAAAAAAATAGAAAAAAATACCTTTGATCTTATCACAGAGAGGACCATGATGAACATTTGGGCATTTTTTTCTTCCAACTTTTCTTAATGTACTCATTTTGTCATGAACAAATATGATAATTTTCTGAGATAGAGTCTTAGAATAGGATTCTACTTAAATCAAAGAATATAAATATTTTAAGTCTTTAAAGATTTTAAAGGACTTATATAATTTTAATAATCTAAATTATAAAAGTAATACAGACAGTAATTGAATAACATGGGAATGACTAAAGTAAAATTATTAAATCTCATCTTCCTAATGACACCATTAGTCATTTATTTTCCTTTCTCTTTTACACTAGTTTTCATTTGTACAAACACATGCACGATTTTAAAAAATTCTTTCCCAAAATTAAGAGTATGATCCCAATCCTCCATATTATTTTAAAAACTAGCCCTTTTTATTTTTATTTTTTGAAACGGAGTCTTGCTTTGTTACCCAGGCTGGAGTGCAGTGGTGCAATCGTGGCTCACTGCAACCTCCACCTCCTGGGTTTGAGCGATTCTCCTGCCTCAGCCTCCTGAGTAGGCGTGTGCCACACGTTCAGCTAATTTTTTGTATTATGAGTAGAGATGGGGTTCTACCTTATTGGCCAGGCTTGTCTCGAACTCCTGGTCTCAGGTAATCCACCTACCTCAGCCTCCCAAAGTACTGGAATTACAGGTGTGAGGCACCATGCCCAGCCATATTTAATACTTTAATTAATCTTTATGTAAAAACTATTTCAATGTGTGTGTGTGTGTGTGTGTGTGTGTGTGTGTGTGTGCATACGTAGGTATACAGGTGTGTGCATAATATTAAAAAGTGTTTTTAGTATTCAGTCACAAAGATGAGTCATAAGGTGTTCAGCTATGCTTCTGTTGATGATTAAGGAGTTTTTCCCTATTAAACAATGCTGCAATAGACATCCTCTTACCCACATTGTAATATACTAGTAGTTTTATCACAATAGGTAAGTTTTAATAAATACAATTGATAGTCAAAGTGTATGTATTTAAAAAATTTTAATGAATACTGCCAGAGCTCTTTCCAAATAGGCTGTATTAATTTAATGTCTAACAATCATCATATAAGAGGAGCCCATTTGCCCACCTTGTTGCCAGAATTTGATTTTAAGAATTCAAAACAACTCGTGTTAATCTGATAAGCATATCTCATTTTTATTTTATAGTTCCTTAGGTGAAGAAGATTTTTATATGTTTTGACTCTTGTATTTCTTCTTTGTTGACTTGTCTATAGAGCTAAACTTTTCAATCTTCCTGTTTTTCTAGGCTGGCAAGGCAACGGATATGTTTGCGAAGATATCAATGAATGTGAGATAAATAACGGCGGCTGTTCTGTGGCTCCACCTGTTGAGTGTGTGAATACACCTGGGTCTTACCACTGTCAGGCCTGTCCACCAGGTGCTGCCTCAGTTCAGTGCCAGCTTCCTGACCCCAATGCAGGGAACACCGACATAGGAATACGGGACCTTGTGCTCCATTTAAAATATGATTTCTGGCTGGGCGCGGTCACTCACGCCTGTAATCCCAGCACTGTGGGAGGTTGAGGTGGGCAGATCCCATGAGGTCAGGAGTTCCAGACCAGACTGGCCAACATGGTGAAACCCCGTATCTACTAAAAATACAAAAATGAGCCAGGTGTGGTGGTGCATGCTTGTAATCCCAGCTATTTGGGAGGCTGAGGCATGAGAATTGCTTGAACCCAGGAGGCGGAGGTTGCAGTGAGCTGAGA